ATGCTCAGATCCGTTTTTAGCCCCACTCGCTAAGAGAAATGCAACAGTTTTTTTTGTTTCTTTCGAGACGAATATGCGTGTATATGTATATTTGCCAAGCATCTGTTGTTCTATTATAGATATATATAAATCTACTTAGATCCACATCTCTACTTTATAGATCTGTATTTTGATGTGCATTTTTTTTTGTAGATATCTATTTATTTTCTTTTATTCCCACTTGATGTTGATACATAACTTACTGTTTAATTTTTTTACTGTTTAGAAATATGGCTGATCTGGAGCTGCTTTCCCGATTGTTTGCCGATAGAGAGGACCTCCTGGCGATAGGGTGAATATGTACTTCAAGCTCAATACGATCAAGGTTGTGTTGAAAGCTCTTACACCTAAAGAGAATGAAACCATTAGGCCTTACTTTGGAAAACTTCTTGATGTCTACTCCAAACTTGTCTTCTCTAGCAAATTGGCTCACTTTCTGTTAATCCGACAGCTTAATGTTGTCAAGCGACAAAATTCAAAAGTTTTTCCATGTACTTGTTTTCATTCCATTGCTTTCACGATTAAATAGTATCTAGTTTTTTTGTGTTTTTCTCGCTTCCCTCACTAAATTCCGTCTCCATATCCACAAATCTATTTAGATCCGCAATTTTTTAATTATCCCTGAGTTTAGATATTCAACTTCCCCTGTAGATCTATATTTTTTCATGTATATTTTGTCAAACATCTATTGTTTGTTTTAGATATCCACAAATCTATTTAGATCTGTATCTATTCATGTATATTTACCAAGCATATGTTGTTCTATTGTAGATATCCACATATCTACTTAGACACTCTGCAGGTTTGCATTAAATGGAAGTCGCCTCCTTCCTTCTGTCACCGCGTAACCGTCACGTCCGAAACAGAGACGTCGCTTCATCCTTTTTTTGCCAAAAAAGTCAAAGTTGCTATCCCATTCGCATGGATAAGTAAGCGCCTGGGTTTTTCGTTATTTCGGAGAAATCGAAGGACAGAAGTGAAGCTCTTTTTCCATTACTTGAAGTCAAAGCAGTCAATTACCTCTGCACTAATTTGCTTATCTGTTTTTACCTCTGCGCTAACTCTCCCTTCTTTAATTGGCGACCATGCATGATAGGCCTATAGTGTTATTAATAGGGAAAAATGTCGTTTAATCTCCGAACTTTCAAAAAGTGGCCAATCAATACGTCAACTTCTCATAAGGCCATTTTAAACATCAAGTTATCGTTGACCAAACAAATGACCCATTGGATTGCGTTGACCAGGCCCATTTGCACATGTCGTTAACTCCGATAACAGACCCAGTAACGGCCGTTTAAACCCGTTAACGTTTCTCTGTTAAGGCCAAAACGTTGTCGTTTTACACTTAAACGAAATCAAAATCGAAATCAAAAATCCCCAAATTAAACAAACAAAATCCCTAATTCCTCTAACCCTAAACCCTAATTTTCTCCGACGATCTTCAATCAGTCTTCACGAATGCCATTAATCAGACACAACGGCGCCATAAGGAGGGTTGGGTCACCAATGGAAGGCGAATTAGAGAGTTTTGGTGCTGGAGTTGAAGCTTCCGAAGGAGAGACTGGAGATGGAGTTCGTGCTCCACCGGCGGAAGTCGAAGCAGAATCAGGTGGTGTGGATGAAGCGACTGTCGGCGTTTTAGAGACTGTTGCTGTTGAGAAAGCTCGAGATGCAAGACAGCGTCGAAAACGAAGAAGAGCTAGAGACGTAGAAGTTGATGATGAGCCTGAGCTGGATCCGGAGCCTGATTTGGAAGATGACTGCGCCGTGTTTGCTGATGAAGATATCAATGATGTTGATGATGCAGTAGGTCAAGGAGATAACGATGATTACGATGGTAATGATTGGCACGTTGTTGAAGAAGATCCTAACCTCAAATTGCTGCAAATTTCCAGACGCTTATAGAGTAGATGAAGAAGGTGGGTTCTGATTCTGACA